TATATATATATATATATATATATATATATATATATATATATATATATATATATAATGCTCTGGCGTCCTAAAATAATTCCTCCTATGATTTTTCAATCATACTAATCGATCTCGTAGGAACTCACATTTCCTCCGCACTTCTCTGCAGCAACAGTGCCAGAATGGAGCATAAATGACTGCATATATTTTTAAGAAAGACCAGCAGATCGACAAGTTCAGGTTGGGGTTGAGAAACGCGCTGATTTAGCACCTTTGCCACAACCAAAATGATTGAAGCCACAAAAGGATCCAGGTATCAAGCTAAGACGTCACTCGAAAATGGTTCGCAGAATTCCCGCTGGAGTTCTGTGGACAGAGTGCGAGGACTACCGAGAAATGAATGACTTTGACCAAAGAAGTCAGTTCGATCGGAGACTCTGAACTTGATCGCTAACTGGAGAGTCACGAGAAGTTACTGATCCGTTGGATAAGTTAAGGGACAGAAACTTTCAGGTCCTACTTTCAAGATACACGCTGTCTAATTTCTTTCCAATTTCACCAGCAATAAAGCGTGGTCTCGAGCACTTGAACTTCGGTTTCCTAAATGGTGTTTATTCACTTGGATCACTCCAAGATCATATGCAATCCATTTTTCATCTCCCGTTACCAAGCGATTTAAAAATTGTTGATTTTTGCAATGTTTAATCGACGAGCTGAACACAGAAACGCGCATCAACAAACTACGCTCACTTTTCGAAGAATCCAACCTTCAGGGTGGCTATTGAACCGAGTTCCATTAAGCGGTAGCAAATAGTCTACTCCGATGAATGAGCCTTCCTGCTTTTTAAGAAGTAGTATGCTTCGATTGATTCCAGCTAACATTTTGGTTAATCGTTATCATCGGAGGGTGGTCTCCATGACCGCTGCCAATCTTCGAGTGCGATTTCACCATGCTAAGCCCTCACGCATTATGCTTTCTGATGGAGCGCTGTGTCTCTATTTATCACACACCTTTTCCTTTTGAGCTTTTGCATTTTTCTGGTCCAGTGTCGAGAATGCTCTCGATGTTGCTCCACCTTTTCACCGGCTCTGGAGGAACAGAACCCAAGGGATGGTGAGAAATGATAAATTTCCCAGAAAACTTTGTGTAGAAATTTTTAAAAAAGAGTCCATTAACCCCACGCAACGCATCCATAAAAGGCGGAAAATTCTTCAAGTGTCAGCACGTGATAGCTTTTTCTCCAGAAACGGCTTTTTTCTATATACACTTATCTTGAAGTTTTAGTGAACAGGCGGATACAAAGAAGCGAAAGAGTACTCCAAGGGAAAATAGAGTTCATAAACCTGATGTAAGCTGGTTATCGAGAAGCAGAACAAATAACCTCTTTACCATGCACACCACCGCAAGATTAAAGAAAACTGATTTACAGATACGATCCTCGATTGATCTGGAAAAATTGCTCTACGTTCTATATCCGTGACCAAGCTAATTGCGGTGAGCTTGAGCTCAAAGAGCTGTTCATATCTTTAAGGAACACATTACGAACAAGATCTTCAGGCTCATGCTGGGCTTTATCCACTGCAGCTGCTATTTCGGATCGTATCTGCATTGCTACCGAAGCTAAAATACAGGTACAGATAATTTCCCATTTAATAAGCAATTGTTGACCTAAAAGTGCAACATTCAGGTGAATATTTCTGCCACTGACTTTATCACATGCTGCAGGCCAAAGTGCGGTTACGGGTAAAATCTTATAATATTGACTTCCAAGAGCAGTGAATAAGTGTAGAGTCGTACTTGACTAAATTCGTGTAGAGCCTTATTCAACTGAATAATTCACTGCTTAAGGTGCGATGGAGGATTGCCTATTAGAGCTTGGGAGTTTTTCGTATATGACGGAGTTGTCTCTGGAGGAGAATACCTATCTAAAGTGAGATAGCTACCAATCATCATTATCGATCGTCTAGGTTTTTTACTAGTTCCGCCGTAGGGTGTATGCCGTCCTTATCCGCTTCATCCATGTGGACATCACGGAAACAATACCTACTATGGAGAATGCCCTGAAGAGGCGCTAACTCCACCGTGTAAAAAGAAATGCCAACGTGGTTACAGGAAACTATACAGGATGGATAAGCGATACGGTAAGCTGAGATCTCTCTTGTAACATTAGCCATTGAGGGAGCCGAAGGCAACTTTAGCTCACTAAAGCAGAGAACAAATACAAACAAGTGAACAAAACAAAATTTGTTGCTATCAGTCATGAATGTGTTCCAAAATTTCTCCATTCCACCTCATGGCGGTTAATGTGAGCAAGTCACTCACAGCTCGTCATTATGTGGGATGGAGATGTTTCTGTCACAGAACCTTTAATTCTCAATAGATAATGGGAGCGATCAGTCACTTTGAGTTGGAATTTACTCCGATGTACGGCATGCGCACTGTAACAATATATAAAGTCAAATGAACACAAAAAGAGTTGACTTCTCAAATGTTTCTGAACTGTACCAGAAAAACGGTATATGAGACATTATCGTATTCATTTTTGAGTGAACTATTCAGGTGCGAAACGTAACCCAAACTATGGTACTCAGTCTTTCTGGATGAAAACTATCACGCTCGATCTTTCTGAGTGATATGGTTTTCACCACCTGTTACCCAAAAGCCTATTGCTCGGTAGTTAGTGCTTAAACAAATATTCTTGTTTCTGTGCAGATCAAAATTTCAGGAAAAGAAGCCTACATTGTGAAGCCATCGGTAAAAGCCATCCAAAGCGAGATACTGAAGAATGGACCGGTTGTAGCCACATTTGAAGCCTTTCAAGATTTTTCGCTTTACAAATCAGGAATCTATAGAGTGAGACTCTTGAATATTATCGGAGCTATAATTGTGAATATTAGCAAGCAAAAATCTGCCAAGGCAAATCCCAGTGAAAACCAATGAAATTACAGCACACCGCTGGTGGGTCACAAGGTTTACACGCTGTGAAGATGATCGGATGGGGAACGGAAAATGGTACAGACTATTGGATCATTGCCAACTCTTGGAACAACGATTGGGGAGAAAATGGTGAGCCTCTAAGGCAAATGCATTTGTAAATCTAAATTATGGTTTGGTTGCTACAGCTTTCCTAAGTAATTTCTAGATGGGGCCACTGTCTGGGATAGCTCTGCTAACAATAAATTCATGTTCACAGGTAGCCTGGTCGGAACAAAAACACGTGATACACGCTGTTTTGGTTCGATCAAAAGAGTAGACAACGATATGGATAATAGCTATATTTTAGGATATTTCCGGATGATTCGTGGGATTAACGACTGTGGAATTGAAGACACTATAACTGCTGGGCTCGTCGACGTAGAAAATCTCTAAAGTCGCTCTAGGCTAGAGTCAACCGAATAAATATAATTATTGTATGTGCATGCAGATTGATTCTCGANTTATTTAGTGCTGTTAACGAGCCTAACTGCGATCTAGAAGTTAAATTAATTAATATGTTATTGTTGCTGCTCACTAAAGAAGGGTGATTACAGCCTTCTAATAAGAAGGTCTAATTTGGAGATAGAGCAGTTGTGGAACACAAAGGAGCAGCGCCGAACAAGAATTCACTTATTTTCTGCAAATCACCTTTCAAGACTAAATGACACTTTCTCAATTGTCTGCCGGTCGATACTTCCCCTTACTTTTCCTGCATGGAAGAAACAAGCAAAAAGCATAGGTTTCGAGTCATTGGAGGAGAGATAAATCATTTGAATCTGAGGCTCTAGAAGTGTGATGTGTAGCAATCATCATACAAGCGAGCTATCAGTTTTAATAATCGTAGCCCCCAAGGTCCTTTTACGCTAATAAAGCTGTTAAGGAAGCTAATAAGGAAACAAGAAAAATCAGAATCAAATTCTAAAATGAAGAAGTAGAATCAGAGTTCATCAATCAGGGCTACCGAAGGTTTCAAAAGTCGTAGAGTAGAAGAAAAATGCAAGCGTTACAAGCGTTGACAAAAGCGAGCTTCTGAAGCTCTACAGGAAGCGCAAGAGGCTGCTTGAAAGAAACACTGTCGTTACTAGTTGTGTAAATGAAAACAATGATAGTGATCCGTCTTGCAATGTATATGCAGACGAATCACTTAGTTGCAATCAATCCCACATGGGTGGATCAAACTACAACGTACAACCGACTATACTTATATATGTATTTATAAATGTACATACAAAGCACTTACATTAATACATGTATGTATGTAGATATGCACATATAATATATATACATATACAGGGTGTCCCAAAATTATTGGCGCCGATTTATAGCAATATATTTGATACTTCTCAGCTGCGAAAGACACTGGATCTCTATGCACACTAGCTAACACTATGTGCTACAACATGCTACAGTCGCATTTCAAAATATCCCTCAAGAGCGCAGATAGAAGACAAAGTATGCTCTTGACTTGAACGCATGTGGCACACAGGTATCCTTCTCCATTTTTTTCCCAGCCATTCTTCAGCCTTTGCATTCTAGGACTCCAAACTATTATAGGACTGCAAACTCGACAGGTCCTCTTCTAACCAGGGACCATTCGTGGGGTCATGTGAGTCAAGTTCTGGAAAATAGGATGACCATCCTTCTTCACCAATGAAGTCGAGCAGCTGTCGTCGTCACCACTCGCGAACAAGCTTGGCTCTGAGGGCTGGAGTAGCGTCTCACCTGGAAGGACTACGAGATGTCTCAGAAAACGTAGCCGGGTCAGTGCTTCATTATCTCCATCAGTACGCTGTTTGAGTACTGGTCTTGGTCAATTTTCATGCCTGCACCGAAGAAACCACGAGCGGCTTACCCTTGCCAGTAATTTCCTCGAAAAACATGATTTTACTATTCTGATAGCAACCTTTTTGTGAGATATTACACGCTAATGTTTCTTCCCGGAACGCGAACGTTTTGGTTGTTGAGGAATGGGTTTATCGTAAAAAATTTTTTGACCAGAGAAAACGACGAAGGGTTGCGTGTCATCACTCAATTGGGTCTGCGACTTTCCGCATTTCTTGGCCTCCCGTGTCTGTTGAGTCACAAACATTCT